CTGAAGCCCTGCGGTGTCAGGAGCAGAACCGGAGCGCAGTGATCCGAGCTCATACCAGGCTGAAGCCCTGCGGTGTCAGGAGCAGAACCGGCCCCGGAGCGCAGTGACCCGAGCTCATACTAGGCCGAAGCCCTGCGGTGTCAGGAGCAGAACCGGCCCCGGAGCGCAGTGACCTGAGCTCATACCAGGCTGAAGCCCTGCGGTGTCAGGAGCAGAACCGGCCCCGGAGCGCAGTGACCCGAGCTCACACCAGGCTGAAGCCCTTCGGTGTCAGGAGCAGAACCGGCACCGGAGCGCAGTGACCCGAGCTCACACCAGGCTGAAGCCCGGCGGTGTCAGGAGCAGAACCGGCCCCGGAGCGCAGTGACCCGAGCTCATACCAGGCTGAAGCCCTGTGGTGTCAGGAGCAGAACCGGCCCCGGAGCGCAGTGACCTGAGCTCATACCAGGCTGAAGCCCTGCGGTGTCAGGAGCAGAACCGGCCCCGGAGCGCAGTGATCCGAGCTCATACCAGGCTGAAGCCCTGCGGTGTCAGGAGCAGAACCGGCCCCGGAGCGCAGTGACCCGAGCTCATACCAGGCCGAAGCCCTGCGGTGTCAGGAGCAGAACCGGCCCCGGAGCGCAGTGACCCGAGCTCATACCAGGCCGAAGCCCTGCGGTGTCAGGAGCAGAACCGGCCCCGGAGCGCAGTGACCCGAGCTCATTCCAGGCTGAAGCCCTGCGGTGTCAGGAGCAGAACCGGCCCCGGAGCGCAGTGACCCGAGCTCATTCCAGGCTGAAGCCCTGCGGTGTCAGGAGCAGAACCGGCCCCGGAGCGCAGTGACCCGAGCTCATACCAGGCTGAAGCCCTGCGGTGTCAGGAGCAGAACCGGCCCCGGAGCGCAGTGACCCGAGCTCATACCAGGCTGAAGCCCTGCGGTGTCAGGAGCAGAACCGGCCCCGGAGCGCAGTGACCCGAGCTCATACTAGGCCGAAGCCCTGCGGTGTCAGGAGCAGAACCGGCCCCCGGAGCGCAGTGACCCGAGCTCATACTAGGCCGAAGCCCTGCGGTGTCAGGAGCAGAACCGGCCCCGGAGCGCAGTGACCCGAGCTCATACTAGGCCGAAGCCCTGCGGTGTCAGGAGCAGAACCGGCCCCGGAGCGCAGTGACCCGAGCTCATACTAGGCCGAAGCCCTGCGGTGTCAGGAGCAGAACCGGCCCCGGAGCGCAGTGACCCGAGCTCTTACCAGGCCGAAGCCCTGCGGTGTCAGGAGCAGAACCGGCCCCGGACTGTGTTCTCTCTGTGTGTGTGTGTGTGTGTGTGTGAGTGAGCAGAGACTGTGTTCTCTGTGCTCTCAGGGAGAGGTGGAGACAGAAGAACACTTCCTCATACACTGCGATCACTATCACAGCATTAGATCGGACTATTTCACTAGATTTCAACAGCTAGAACCAAATTTTATGGCATTGCCAAATGCAGAAAAATTAATTCATATTTTGGGAGAAAACTCTTGCTCAATCACAACAGCAGCAAAGTATGTAACAGCCTGCCACAAACTACGAGAGTCAGCCAGTGGACAGAACTTAAGTCTGAATGTTGGTTCAAAACTGTTTTTTTTTGTTTTGTTTTATTTTGATATATAAATGGCATTTGTTTACATTATTAATTTATTGATTATTTGTTCATTGCCTATGTAATGGCCAATGCTTTGGCAATTCTGTATAAGTCATGCCAATAAAGCTAATTTGAATTGAATTGAATTGAATTGAATTGAGTGAGTGAGTGAGTGAGTGAGTGAGTGAGTGAGTGAGTGAGTGAGTGAGTGAGTGAGTGAGTGAGTGAGTGAGTGAGAGAGAGTGAGAGAGACAGAGAGAGACAGAGAGAGTGTGAGTGAGTGAGTGAGTGAGTGAGTGAGTGAGTGAGTGAGTGAGAGTGAGAGAGACAGAGAGAGACAGAGAGAGTGTGAGTGAGTGAGAGAGAGTGAGAGAGACAGAGAGAGACAGAGAGAGTGTGAGTGAGTGAGTGAGTGAGTGAGAGAGAGTGAGAGAGACAGAGAGAGTGTGAGTGAGTGAGTGAGTGAGAGAGAGTGAGAGAGACAGAGAGAGACAGAGAGTGTGAGTGAGTGAGTGAGTGAGTGAGTGAGAGAGAGTGAGAGAGACAGAGAGAGTGTGAGTGAGTGAGTGAGTGAGTGAGAGAGAGTGAGAGAGACAGAGAGAGTGTGAGTGAGTGAGAGAGTGAGAGAGACAGAGAGAGTGTGAGTGAGTGAGTGAGAGAGAGTGAGAGAGACAGAGAGTGTGAGTGAGTGAGTGAGTGAGTGAGAGAGAGTGAGAGAGACAGAGAGTGTGAGTGAGTGAGTGAGTGAGTGAGTGAGAGAGAGTGAGAGAGACAGAGAGAGTGTGAGTGAGTGAGTGAGTGAGAGAGAGTGAGAGAGACAGAGAGAGTGTGAGTGAGTGAGTGAGAGAGAGTGAGAGAGACAGAGAGAGACAGAGAGAGTGAATTGAATTTTAAACACCTTTTATTACAAATAACCTAATACTAATACATTCAGTTCCTACCTACAAGAGTACAAAAAAACATACACATTCAATATATCAAATATAAAACTCATTCCAAAATATGTGCAAACTGTAAACTCTCATTAATTATTTCACACAGAGCCCCCTTATAACACCAAATCAATTCAAAAGACATAAGATCCCCCATAGCCTTATAAAACCGAAAGTCAATTAAAATTCTGGATTTTACTAGGTTAAGAAACACAATCTGCAAATTAACACTTGAATTGCGTTCAATTCTTATTTTTCTAGTGTCATATATCGCCTTCTTTGCTTGACCCAGCAAAAAATTCAATAATTGACAACAAAATCGACATCTCCGGATGTATTTAAACCCACAAATAAACGTTTCCAAAGAAAAAGTCTCATCAAAACAACCAAATAAACTCTTTAAAACCTGAAACAATGGTAAAAGCCTGTTACAATACACAAAAGCATGAAATATGTTCTCCTTCTGAAAACAGAAAGGGCATTCATCGCTAGTATCATGGTTTATGACTGAAACAAGTGCATTCACGGCAATCGCTCCATGAAGGATCCTCCACTGTAAGTCACCCACTTTTTTTGGCAAAGGTGACTTGTATAACGCTCGCCATTCCGGCTTGACATCCTCTCCTAGATGGAGGACAGAACGCCAAGGCGTATCAACTCTTTTATGCAAACACTTCTTATTCAGAGTTTTGACACAGTTTTTGTACAAAAAATTTCCAGACACTGGATTAGGACCCATTAACATCAACAAGTTAGGTTGTAAAAAAACACCTTCACATTCTTCAAAATCAGTCAACAGACACAAATCAGGAAAAGGGTCATTGCAGTCTGGAGTAATTAACCCTTCAGTGTAATCTTCCAGCAGTTTAACTTCTTCTGACGTAAGTGCTGACTTCCATTCTCCAAGTAATTTGGCCGTTATGCGTTTCGATTTCAACCCCAACTGTCTGACGACCGCATCAACATTCTCAAAGTCCAGTCCAGCCAGTTTAAATAATTGTCCAAGCGTCAAAACTCCAGCATCAAGAAGAATATCACAAATTGCAGGGAGTGTCTTTCCATTTGACAAGTCCAAGCGCGATCCATGAACCAGCGGTTCTTTTAGCAACCAATGCAGTGAGGTCATAGAGCTGGGTCTCTGCACCTTAAACAATGACCAAACTTTAAACAGATTCCGATAAAAAATGAGAGAGAGTGAGTGAGTGAGTGAGAGAGAGTGTGAGTGAGTGAGTGAGTGAGTGAGTGAGTGAGTGAGTGAGTGAGAGAGAGTGAGAGAGACAGAGAGAGTGAGAGTGAGTGAGTGAGTGAGTGAGAGAGAGTGTGAGTGAGTGAGTGAGTGAGTGAGTGAGTGAGTGAGTGAGTGAGTGAGTGAGTGAGTGAGAGAGAGTGAGAGAGAGACAGAGAGAGTGTGAGTGAGTGAGTGAGTGAGTGAGAGTGAGAGAGACGGAGAGAGACAGAGAGAGTGTGAGTGAGTGAGTTCCTTCTGCCCTTCTTCCATGTACCTGTGTAAATTATAAAGTGAGTAAAGTTTGAATTGGAACTTTGGACTCTTCATCTTCTTCTGCCTGCACCACACCCTGACACATATAGGCCTATGTATCCTAGATCTAAAGAGGCATTTCAGTTATTGATTTATTTCCCGCATTAGTGGGTCGTATGACTGCCATACAGAAAAAAGTGGGTCACAGTAGGCAAAGGGTTGAGAAACCCTGATCTAAGAGATGTTTCTCTCCATGAGTTAGAGATGAGAGAATGTCTCCATTTCAAGCTTTTTTAGCATCACAGGACGATGTTGTGAAGGAGTACACTTGTTGGAATTGTACTGGTCAGACAAAGTGTAACATCTAGACGAAGTAAGCACTGAAACATACAGATGATAAACTAGATTTAAAAACTACATCGAGACCAGCTTTGAAGTTGGCTTGAGAAAGCATGATTTTTGAAAGCAATACAGTCAATCAGAAAAACAGACAAGATGTATAGATAGATAGATTGATTTTTAGGGTGTTACTATGCGGTTGCTAGAGTACTTGGGTGGTTGCTAGGGTGTTGCTATGTGTTTTCTTGGGTACTCGCAGTGGTCGCTAGGGCATTCTGGGTGGTTGCTATGGTACTCGCAGTGGTTGCAAGGGTGTTGGCTATTTGGTTGCTAGGGCATTCTGGGTGGTTGCTATGCGGTAACTAGGGTACTTGAGGTGGTTGTTAGGGTGTTACTATGCAGATGCTAGGGTACTCTGGGTGGACGTTAGGGTGTTGCTAGGGTATTCTGGGTGGTTGCTAGGGTACTCATTGCTAGCATGTTTCAGATAAATACCATGCAAAAAAGAGCATTAAAGAACCCTTTTAATAGATGAATTTGGATGAGAGTCCTGATCCGATCATAGCTTCATTTCATAATCCAAATAACATTTGAGTGCTCAGGTCCACATGTTAAGAGTGAAACCATTTCAGATATTTTTCTTTTTAACCTGCAGCTGTGAATCTGTGAAGGGTGATGGCGTCTGTTAAAGTTGAAGATCTGCTTGAGAAATCACTGAAGGACCTGGTAGAAGCTGAACGGAAGAAGTTTAAGTGGCACTTAGAGAAAGATCATGAATGTATATCAAAGTCTGAAATGGAGAAAGCAGATATCTTAGACACAGTGGATAAGATGGTAGCATGTTTTGGACCAGAAGAAGCTGTGAAGATCACAGTGGAGACCCTGAGGAAGATGAACCAGAACAATCTGGCTGAGCAGCTGGAGAACAAACACAAGCAAGGTAACATTTAATTCACTGTGACAGTAATTGACTGTTTACTGATTAATGGTTTGACTTTGCTCTTTGCTCTGCTGATGTGTTTGTGTGATTTATGTTTCCCAGTGAGGGATCCTCTCTCTCTCACTCACACAGGTCAGGCTGAAGGCAATATGAAGACGTCTGCCGCTGTTGGAGCTCATTCAGAAGAGATCAGGGGTAAATAATCACTGTCTGTACATGGAAACAAGAGATTATATAACATCAAGCAACAATTACAGGGCCAAGAAGCAGCAGCAACAGCTCTTTTACAAGTACATTTATTAGAACAGATTGTCTAGTCATTTTTTACGAATGGTTAAATGGTTTACAAGATTAAATTAAAACTTCTGAAAGCCACTTCTACATACGCGGGGTCATTGCAATAACCCCAACCTAACCCTAATACAGTCTCATGTCTTGTTTGGTGTGCTAGATGTCAATGGTTTGATCAAAAATCTTGTACTAATTTTGGTCAGCATGGCCTTAAAGGAAAATTCTGTCATTTACTCACCCTCAAGTGGTTTCAAACCTGTATGAACTACTTTCTTTTGCTGAACACAAGGGAAGATATTTTGAAGAATGTCGGTAACCAAACAGTCGATGGACCCCATTAACTTCCATAGTAGAAATAAAATATGTTCATACAGGTTTGAAACAATTTGAGGGTGAGTAAATGATGACAGAATTTTCATTTTTAAGTGAACTATTCCTTTAAGTTGAACTGTGTCCAATAGTGACAATAGCCGCGTTTCCATTACCCTTCAAATTGCGCAAATTGAAATTGCGAATTGAAATTACGCTCAATGGAAACACGTCAATTTCGCAAAAACTCCCATTTATCGCAAAAAAGTTTTTACGCTCGCATGAGGAGGTTTTTCAGGCAATTCGAAAAAGGAATATTTCGCAAAACTGCAATGGAAACAGTTTTTGCGCATTTACAGTCACCTGACTTAGAAGACGCGGTGTGTTTGGGGTCCGTCCGTGGTATACGCAAATAATAATGGGCTAATAATTATCATCATTATTATAACATTTATTAGGCTACATATTTAGAAGATGCTTTTATCCAAAAAAAGGAACAAAGCAATTCGTCAAATGTCATTCATAATGGTTAGACAATAATAATACAGGGCTAAGATTATCACAAAGAAACACAAGATTTTGACGCATATCCAAGTGTTTGTGCAGAGTGTGGAGCGCGCGCTGCAGGCAGGGAGACGCGGGCGCGAACACTTGCGTTTTCCTATCAACAGTGAAAACAACTTAAAATACTCTATAATTTCTGGTCATACAGAAAATAATAATACATTATTCGCAACTATGCTTTTATTTGTGTAAACTCAAAATAACAAGAAAACGTTGTGCTTTTGTAAAATAAAATAAAACAATCATGCGCGCTTTCATGATCTCCGTGAAAAAAGCTAAAGCTTGAAATGTCCACTTTAAAACGAACAAATTCGAATCGAAAGCTAATACCTTCTGATTATGTAATCCGTATGAAAGGTGCATTTCTCTCTAAAGGTGCATTCGCGCGGCGCGCCTCAGCGGAGATGGAAATGTTTTTAGCCGACACTAATTTAGAAAACAAGTTTATTAATAAAATTAAAATGCCTCGTTATTCTTTCAGACACATTTATTATCATTAGCCTATAACTCACCTAAATCACCTTTCTGTAGGCTGTGGTTCCAGAGACATAGGCCTAAATATGGCTCTTCTCATTCAGCACTGCGGGAAAAATATAATTTTCAGGTTCTAATTTGGCCTTAGAAAACCATTAAAATCTAAAAAAAAATTGTATTAAGTTGGGAATATTTTAAATGTTTAGTAAAGGGGCAAAAAGTCATAAACAAACATCTGAAATTTAGTCGATTTTTTTTTTCCGCAGCATTTGTGTACAGTTTAAATTAAAAAAAAAAAATTGGTGTTCAACTTTGCATTTAAAAAAAAACAACCACCGTTCATTTTTCGTTTTGCAATACGGGTTAAATAAGGAAAAACGAATGGACACAAATGTACACTGACCGTTTGGACAGAGTTCTTTATTAAATTCATAAAAGAAACAATAGGCTACAGGAATACTGGATTCTAAACCTCAAAGAAATGCCACAATCAGACCTCGGAGCAGAAATGAGGGAGAAACACCCAGAAACTCCTTATGCCGTTCGCAGTATACGGGTCTTTCCCTGCCATTAATGCTTGGATAACACACCACGTCTCCTTCCATTAATAATAATGTCTAGTGTGGTGGTGCGGTGGCTGTGATATAGGGATATAGGCTATAAACCTACCCGTTGATGTTTAAATTACTTATCGCGAGAGGGGAAAAAGTCGCATAACATCAGTTAATGGAAACGCCGTCATTTCGCAATAGTTTTTTATCGACATTTAGAAAAAATCGCAAAAGTTTTGCGCAAATCTGTAATGGAAACGCGCCTAATCTTATAAATCCAATTCCAATTTTATTCAAGTATTAATCAAGGCATTTCCATCATTTATGTTGTCAACTTCAGCATAATCAGTGTAAGATGAGCATGTAAACACTATTGCAGTAAGAGTGTGATTCATTTGAATATAGTAGACACCGGAATTTATGAAAAACACAATCATTTAGTTTTTGCTGTCTTTTCCCATATTTCTCATAGGCTCAACAGCAGACGATAGAGAAGCTACTCTTCATGATTACACAGAGACCAGCCTCACACTGAAGGACAAATTAAAACAGGACTACGAGAAGATATTGGTTGGTGATTCACAGACGGGTCATCGGAAATACCTGAAAGATATTTACACTGATTTATATGTGGTGGAGAATGAGACTGGAGGAAGAGTGAACGACCATGAGGTGAGACAGATCGAATCAAATCACAACCGATTGACTGCCAAAGAGAAGCCAATCAAGTGTAATGACATGTTTAAAGTCCAGTGTGACACGGATCAACGAAACAGAAAAGTGCTGACAACGGGGATTGCAGGAGTGGGAAAAACTGTCTCTGTCAATAAATTCATCTTTGACTGGGCTAAAGGAACAGAAAATCAGGATATAGTCTTCATATTTCCACTTCCATTCCGTAAATTGAATTTGATTAAAGAAGAGTATAGTCTCATGGGACTGATCAACAAATACTTCTTTAGTAGTCCTGAAGAATTGCTCTCTCTTCCTGAAGGTGATGGTAAAGTTATGTTCATCTTTGATGGGCTGGATGAATGTCGCTTTACTTTGAACTTTAAAGATGACGACATATTTACAAATGTAAATGAAAAAACAACAGTCAGTAAGGTAATAATAAACCTTATCAAGAGACACCTGGTTCCCTCTGCTCTCATCTGGATCACATCCAGACCAGCAGCAGCCAGTCTGATTCCCCGTGACTACATTGATCAAGTGACAGAGGTGCAAGGATTTAACGATGAGCAGAAAGAGCAATACTTCAAAAATAACAGCAGTCCTGAGGTCGCTGGAAACCTCATCAGTCACATCAAGAAATCCAGGAGTCTGCACATCATGTGCCATATTCCTGTCTTCTGCTGGATCTCTCTTATTGTTCTTCAGCCTCTACTGGCTCGAGAGAGCAATGACAAAACTCCCACAACTCTCACAGAGATGTACACAAGCTTCTTAATTTCTCAGAAGAAACAGATGGAAGAAAAATACTGTGATGACCCTGAACTTAAAGCCAATGCAGTGTCTTTTGATCAGATTATTCTGAAGCTTGGGAAACTGGCCTTTCAACAGCTGGAGAAAGGAAACCTGATTTTCTACAAAGAAGATCTTGAGGAATGTGGACTAGATATCAGAAAAGGGTCGTTGTACTCTGGGTTATGCACTCGAATGTTTCAGGAGGAAAAGGTAGCAGCAGGAAACGTTTACAGCTTCGTACATCTCAGCGTACAGGAATTCCTTGCTGCTCTTTATGTGTTTATGATGGGCAAAGATGAGAAAGCTGACCTATTTCTTCAATCCTGGAGAAAACTGACATGGAAACTGTCCAAAAAGCCACTGTTTCAGCTTCATAATGCTGCAGTCAAGAAAGCTTTACAGAGTGAGAACGGACACCTAGACCTTTTCCTTCGGTTCCTCCTGGGTCTGGAGTCCAATCAGAGTGTCCTGAAGCGACTACTGCCAGAACTGGAGCTCAGAAAAGGGGACATGAAAAACACTGTTAACTATATTAAAAAGAAAATAGAAAATGAGAAATCAGTAGAGAAGACCATCAATCTCTTCCACTGTCTGAGTGAACTGAAAGATGACTTTGTGGAGGAAATCCAGAAGAATCTGAGATCAGGAAAACTTTCAGCACAGAATCTCTCCTCTGCTCAATGGTCTGGTCTGGTGTTTGTGCTCCTGATGTCAGAAGAGACTCAAGAGAAGTTTGAAATGCAGAAATACAGAAGATCTGATCAAGCACTGGTGACACTTCTGCCAGTGATCAAAAACACCAGAAGAGCACTGTAAGAGTCTCCTTTATATTAATTTATAAACACTGTTAGTCTTTTGCAATTGCCTTCAATTCAAGCAGAGAAAAATGAATAAATGTAATGTGGGTGAAAATAAATGCTGGTTTGATGTTTTATGAAGAGATAATTGTTTTAGCTTTGCTTAATTCACTACAGTTCAAGGTTTTTTTCAAGCTCCAGATTATAAACGCTAATAAGCATTACTACTGCTCTTTGTTTTGTTCTCTACACAGGCTACACAGCTGTAATCTCACAGCTCAGTCCTGTGAGAGTTTATCATCAGCTCTACAATCCCCAAACTCCTTTCTGAGAGAGCTGGATCTGAGTAACAATGACCTGCAGGATTCTGGAGTGAAGCTTCTTTCTGATGGACTGAAGAGTCCAAACTCTCAGCTGGAGATACTGAGGTGAATGGTTTAAAATAATGAACTATGCTATAATCAGACGCTGACTTAACCAATAAGCAAGGCAAGCAGCCAAAAGCACCTCAAGAGACAAAACATTTGCAGGAATGTGATATTTTTCCATATTTATACAGACGTATGACCCACATGGACTGCATAAGTCTAAGAAAAATATTGTTTGGGGTGAAGGGAAAGGAATGGACTGTATGAAGATTGAATTTTCAAATAGCTTTAAACAGTTACTAAAACTGTCATCTTCTAAGGATCCATTCAGTCTACTCTCTCTATTGTTTTGTGGTGCAAACAAGCCCCATTCAGTCTCAGTCTTCCCTGCACACATTAGCCGCGTTTCCACTGCCGGGCCAGGGCCGAGCCGTGCTAGTGCGTGCCAGGGCCAGTCATGTTTCCACTGTCACTTCCGGGGCTTGATCGGGGTTTACTCGGGGCCAACGTCCAGGATTTCTTGCTCGTCGAATACCTTGGGCCAAAGCGGGCCAGCTCGGGCTAGAGGCGTGCTCAAGGTAAAAGGCGGAGTTTAATCGGTGTTAGGGAAAGTTATGGTCTGCGGCAAGATGCACATTTCACTTTTTTATATCGCGCAAAATAATCGCTGCTCGAAATGGAGAATCGCCTGTACTGGTCTGTCGAAGATACCAAAGCTCTTCTGAGCATTTGGGCAGAAGAAAGAAAGGGTACAACGTCAATTTGACGGCGTGTGCAGAAACGAGGACGTTATAAAATACATCGTTGCTGAACTTGCTAAGCTAAGCATTCAGCGAGCAACGCTTCAAGTTCGGGAAAAAATAAAAAAGGTGCGGGCGCAGTACAAGGCGATTAAAACACACAATGGACAAAGCGGATCCCAGAGAAGGAACTTTCCATGGTTTGACTTGATGGACGGTGTGCTGGGTCGACGGTGTGCTGGGTCACCATCGGTGTGCTGGGTCACCGTCCCTCTGTTAGTGGCGAGACAAGTCGGGACACTATGGCAGCCACGGCCGGTGAGTTAATATACATGCTATCTTCCTAACTTAAAAATAAATAAATTCATAATACCCGCTGAAATGGGTTGGGTTGTATGACGTTTGATCCAGGAAGGCGTGTTAGTGGCGGGGTTTAGGGCAGCGCTGCGGGGCTACTGGCCCGGCAGTGGAAACACAAGCCCGGTGCTTAAAGGGTCATGAAACCCCCCTCTTTCAGCTCAAGTCTAGCTCACAATCTTTTTGAAAAATGCTACTTAAATGGGCGTGGATGGCTGTGAGAAGAAGGGAGGGAGTGGGTGTGGTATGGCCATTACTGTCATCGCCAGTGTCCCATGCATATCGACTGTCACTAAAAAGCAGTGGTAAAACGTGAGGAAATGCTAGATTTTTTTTTATAGCTGGCAAGGTTAAAGTCTTATGAAATACACTGACATTTTATTATTGTCCTTTCAAAAGTAACTGAATGCCCTGGTACATATATTAGCCTACAGTAATCGTAATTCTATTTAAAACATTAATATAGGCTACATGTATAATTATACATGTCATTATAAAATATATAGTTGTTTATATAGACACAATAAATGCATATATTTGAAAATTATAAATTTTCCGCTTAAAAAAACGTTCTGTGCATAGCCTAGATCTACGCGTCCCCTGAACCCCCATAATAAAGATTGCTCTGTGGAGGTGGATGACTTCTCATTTCTCATCAGACACACACACACACACATACCTCTGAAGGGATTGAAAAGTCCTCGAGACTTGGTACCGCATCACTTGCAAGACGCAACCTGCATTGGTTGTCAACAAGGCGAGGTCCACCATTCTCCAATTCTCGAAGCACTCTCTCAAGAAAAATGTTTGCGGCACACACTATAGTTTAGATGTGTCCGTGGTTGTCTAGCCCTGCCCTGGCAGCATCGCGGGGAAACATATTCAACCCACTTGGACTTTTGCACCACGAAAACAAAGATATCGACATGTCTGTCCATAGACATCACATCTATGTGTCTGTCATTGGAAAGATCCACGTGGTGTCATGAATAATTAAGAGACAGTGTCTTCTCATAGGATATGAAATCTCAGTCTCAGTCTCAGCCTGTGACGTGGACACGATGAAGATTTTAAACCCGGAAGACGAAAAAACTCAAATTTAACCCTATTAAATCTAACAGATGCTAACATTGTCTTCAATGGTGTTCAACACACATACCTCTGTTAAAATCTCAGAAAATTTGGTTTGGGGTTTCATGACAACCTCTTAAGGCCCGAGGCCACTGGCCCGGCTCGGCTCGCTGTTAGCCCTGGCCCGGCCCTGGCCCGACAGTGGAAACGCGGCTATTCACTTCTCCGGCCTGTAGGGTTGCAAACTTCAGAAAAGAAAAATGCGGGACAATCGTGGTTCTTTACAGGAAAATAAGGGACACTCAAAATATTTGTACTGTATCACACAGTATATGTATATGTAATTTCAGGTTTGTATGTTTAAAAGGTTCTCAGACATGCAAACATTTGTTTTGCTTAACCTATTTATGTAGAATTTAATTCTAAAACGAATTTTAAGGTCACAAAAAAGTCACATTACACAAACCATATAGTTCAAAATAATAGCACTTATCTGAAATAGAAAGGTTTTGTAACATTATACACTACATTTCAAAGAAATTAAAGAAAGTAATAGCCTACATTTATTCAGCATGGACGCATTAAAGGAATCAAAAGTGACAGTAAAGACATTTAAAATGTTACAAAAGCTTTTTTTATTTCGAATAATCTACTTTGAACCTTCTATTCATCAAAGAATCCTGACTCTTTTTTTAAAACATTAATAATAATCAGAAATGTTTCTTGGGCAGCAAATCACATCAGCATATTTTTCCCTCAGGAAGATTTCATGTTTTCTTGCGTGGCTGGATGTTGGACTCATGAACAATAATCACGTTGTTTGAATTCACCAAAACCGATTTTCCGAAATCAAAACCCGGCCGGACGGTGAAAGGGATTTGCCGTTAGCGCAAGTGCGGATCGAACCGGGAGCGAGACAGAAGAGGATTCTGTTCGCAAATCAAACAATGATTTGTCCCAAAAGAATAAATAATTCTCAATTTGGAGTCTATTATTCGTATGGCCTGATGCGCTTGAGTGTGGGCTGTGATTGGATAATGACCGGTGTCGTGATCATGCTCAAGTGTCGTGTTGCTGTTCTATCAGTCAGTGATTAGATAAGCATAGCAGTCTATTCACTCGGGACAAGGGAGGTCCCGTATGGGACAAATAAATTAGGCCCAAAATACGGGATGTCCCGGCTAATTCGGGACAGTTGGCAACCCTACCGGCCTGGTTATGGCTCTAAATATGTTTTTTATTTTGTCTTCATTATAAACGACTGGCTATTCACGCTGTTTCAATCCCTAATTTATTTTTTCAAAGTTCTCACTTCACATTTGAAACTGTATCAAATGCCCTTCTTGAAAAAAGAAACATTTCATTAAGCATTCCTAGGCAAGGCAAGGCAAGTTTATTTATATAGCACATTTCATACACAATGGTAATTCAAAGTGCTTTACATAGAAAAAAATAAAATAATCAAAACAAATAAGATTAATTAAAACAGTTTAGAATAAAAAATAAAATAAAGTACAGTAAAAACAGTCGGACGGACAGTGGCACAGTGCTCATTCAGTAAATGCATAGCTAAACAGATGTGTTTTGAGTCTGTATTTGAATGTAACTACTGTAGGAGCACATCTGATCTCCTCTGGAAGCTGGTTCCAGCTGCGGCTGGCATAATAGCTAAAAGCAGACTCTCCGTACTTAGAGTGAACCCTTGGTATTTCTAGCTGATGTGATCCTAATGATCTGAGTGATCTGTTAGGTTTATATTCAGTGAGCATATCTGCAATATATTGAGGTCCTAGCCCATTAAATGATTTATATACCAGTAATAATACTTAAAAATCAATCCTAAATGTAACTGGGAGCCAGTGTAAAGACCTGAGGACTGGTGTGATATGTTCATATTTTCTGGTTCTGCTCAGGATCCTGGCAGCAGCGTTCTGTATGAGCTGCAACTGTCTTATGGTCTTTTTAGGAAGGCCAGTGAGGAGTCCATTACAATAATCCATCCTGCTGGTGATAAAAGCATGCACAAGTTTCTCTAAGTCTTGACTGGAAACAAAGCATCTAATTATTGCAATATTTTTCAGATGATAGTATGCTGATTTAGTTATTGCTTTGACATGACTACTGAAACTAAGGTCTGACTCTAGAGACACACCAAGATTCCTGACTTGATTTTTAGCTGTTAGACCCCTAGTGTCAAGGTATGCTTTCACCTTGAGAACTTCATCTTTGTTTCCAAACGCAATGACTTCAGTTTTGTCTTTGTTTAACTGAAGAAAGTTTTGGCACATCCAACCGTTTACTTCATCAATGCATTGGCACAGAGAGTCAATGGGGCTGTAATCGTTAGGCGATAGGGATAAGTAGAGCTGTGTGTCGTCTGCATAGCTGTGATAAGAGATTCCGTTCTTTCTCATTATTTGGCTCATTGGGAGCATATACAGGTTGAATAGGAGTGGCGCAAGAATTGAGCCTTGAAGGACTCCGCATGTCATGGATGTCCACTCAGACTTATGGTCTCCTATACTCACATAATAACCTCTCCCTTCTAAGTATGACCTGAACCATTTTAGGACTATCCCAGAAAGCCCCACCCAGTTTTCCAGCCTGTCAAGAAGTATGTCGTGATCGACAGTGTCAAAAGCAGCACTGAGGTCGAGTAGTACCAGTACTGATAATTTCCCTGTATCAGTATTTAAGCGAATATCGTTTATTATCTTTATGAGCGCTGTCTCTGTGCTGTGATGCGATCGGAAACCAGATTGAAAATTGTCAAAGTATCCATTCAAGCTTAAGAATTTGTTCAGCTGATTGAAGACAACTTTTTCAATGATCTTGCCTATGAAAGGAAGATTTGAGATCGGTCTATAATTGCTTAAGATGGTCTTATCCAGA